GTGGTGGCGGCTACAAGCATGGACGGCTTCAAAAGGGAATTAGATAAGCATATGGAGCAGAGGTCCATCAGTGGCTCTTAGCCACAAGGTATAGATAGGGGCTCTGGGGCAAGTGAAGCTCTGTCTTCTTGGTGCTTGGGGGGGGGTCAACAGTGGGAGGGCTTCTAATGTCCTCGCCCCACTGCTGGACCTCCTGGTGGCACCTGGTATTTCTGGCCACTGTGTGACACAGAGTGTCGGACTGGATGGGCCTTTGGCCTGATCCAACATTGGCATCTCTTGTGTGACTTTACTTTGTGACTGTCGGGGAAGCGTGAAAGTTTTGGGGAAGGCTGTTTGGGTCGTCACCATCCATAGGCCGGAACATCCACTGTGTGTTCCTGTAACATCAACTGACTTCTGATGATCTGAGCTTTCAGTTTTGAAAGGGGGAGAGTTTCTAGACGTCAGCACGTGAATTACAGGGCCAAGGAGAGGGGAGCCTGGGAAAGAAGTCTGTGATGAACGCCACCAGGAAGCCTTCTGACTGGAAGCGGCCCCCGAGCCCACCACTATGCTTGGAAGAGGGGGTGCCGCTTTCGCTTGGCACCCCTGAGGACAAGGCACCTGGTTCGTTGAGTGATGCAAACGGAGGTTGCCTGTGATTTGGGAAGGAAGAAGCCCTTCCACCAAGCCCCAAGGGACTGTTGCTAGGCAGGCCAGCAAAGCAGTTGGGTGTGGCCTCATGGAAGCAGGGGGGAAAGGCAGAGCACGAGATGCTTGTTTCAAAAAGGGAAGGCGATTTGGGGGTGGGTGCAGGGAGGGATAAGGGCTCTCTGGCTGAGACAAGGCAATCAACAGGTCCGGATCGGAAATGCTGGGGACTTTGAGTGGGAAGGGACTCTGTGGGCTGAGACCGTACCGGGGACAGGCAGGCAGAGATCTTGATTTTGGGTTGGGGAGAGGGGGTTGTACTGACGTCCTTCCGAAGCGGGCCGGGAGGGCCCTTTCATCTTCCCTTCTCTCCTTCTCGCAGCAAAAGGATTATTAACTTGGGCCCCGTGCATCCGGGCCCTTTGAGCCCCGAGCCCCAGCCCGTTGGCGTGCGCGTCATCTGCGGCCACTGCAAAAACAGTTTCCTGGTAAGGATTCGGGGGACGGCTGTGGGTCTCGGGAACTTCGAGCGCTCCCCGCGGCTGTGGGTGGGGTGTGGAAAGCACATTAGAGTTGCTGTCGGCTGGGGCCTCCGATCACTTCCTTAACAATGGCTCTGAATGCCCAGATGACCGACGCAGTGACACCTGAGGACGCTTGGACTTTGCCGAGGGAGAGCTGGAGTCACGGCTCTGTTATACTCCCTTGCCAGCCAGGAGGAAGAGCATAAGGAAACCCTTGCTGGATCAGACCAAGGGGCCACATCTTGAGAGCCAGTTTGGTGTAGTGGTTAAGTGTGCGGTTTCTAATCTGGGAGAGCCGGGTTTGATTCCCCACTCCTCCACATGCAGCTGCTGGATGACTTTGGGCAAGCCACAGTTCTGTCAGAGCTGTTCTCTCGAGGACAGTTCTGGAAAGAGCTCTCTCAGCCCCACCCACCTCCCAGGGTATCTGTTGTGGGGAGGGGAAGGGAAAGGAGTTTGTGAGCCGCTCTGAGACACCTTTGGGTAGTGAAGGGCGGGGTATAAATCCAATCTCTTCTTCTTCTTCACATCTTGTGTCCCAAGTCTCTCCTTTTGAGGCCACCCTTCCACGTGGCCGGTTTTTAAAAGGGTACAGACTCTGAACTTGGAGCGGGTGCTCTTCCCCTGACTGGCAAGGATCCCTGCCTTTTCTAGGAAGGCCATTCTGCTGGGTGGGATGATCCTCTCCTCTTGCCTGGAGAGGGAAGGGCAGCAGAAAAGCCCAGCCCCAAGCAAGACTTGGGGGAGGGGTCAGTGATTCCGCACACTAAGCAAGCCAGAGCAGAAGTGGCAGCCTGACATGTCCGGTACAAAACAGGAGGTGGGCAGGTTATGAATCCGCTTGGAAGCACGCGGAGGGGGTGCCGTGATGCCAATCCCCGCCTCCTGGAGTTCCTTTGCAAGGCATGATTTTAACCCCTTTGTTGGGGGCCTCGGGTCGATGGGTGAATCCGTCTGGACCAGTGGCAGCCTCGGGGCTTGGGCGAAGTGTCTTCTGGCTCCGATTGACTCGCTTCTCTCCCCCTCTCCCCAGTGGACAGAGTTCACGGACCGCACCTTAGCCCGATGTCCGCACTGCCGTAAAGTGTGAGTTTGCCCATTCCGGCTTGATCAGCAACGCAAAGTGGGGATCTCCCCAGAAAGACGTTAAGACTATCTGAAGGAGGGGGGGGGGGCAGTTATATAAAAACGTAGCAAGTTGCTTTCTGGGAACGTGGGGGTGTGGCTTAGTGTCAGCTGAGAAGAGGGATGGGGCTTCAGAGTAGGGTGGCTGGAGCAGGGGGGGGTCCTTTTTTTGGTGGTGGGGAGGGGGGCTCCCGCTGCTGCACACCCCCTGTCCCCCTTGACGGCTGGGGAGGCCTCGGGAAGACTGACCAGGGCTCTACTCTCCTCCTCTCCTCCCCCAGCTCTTCCATTGGGCGCCGCTACCCCCGGAAACGCTGCTTTTGCTGCTTCCTGCTGGGCCTCGTGATGGCCGTGACGGCAACGGGCCTCGCGGTGAGTAGGCGCTATGATGGGAAAGCCCAGCCAGGTTTTTACTTTCCCGCGCTGAGCATTTTGAGGCTCACTAATGTAGAGTTGCCGTGGCCCGGAGCAACTTTGCTGTGCGTCCTTGGATGACCGCTCCAACTAGCTGCACTTGGGTTTTGCCCCAAAGTCCATCAGTGTGTAACTCCTGTCTCTTTCTGCCTGTACAAGTACGAGAGCCCAGCCGAAAGAGGATTATCCGGCGTAGCCACAGACGCAGGCAGTGCAACACAGCTTATGCTAGGAGGACCCCTAATCTTGGGTCTACAGCAGGGGTGTCAGACTTCCGGCCTGTGGGCCAGAAGTGGCTCGTCCAGGGCTCTTATCCAGACCGTGAGTCGCTGGTCATTACCATCATTGCCAGACGACACAGGTTGGGCATTATGTCTCTGTATACTGACCCAGAGATAGTAATTGGCAGTGGAAGCGGGAGGGTGCGCATTAGGGAGACACTTTAAGGAAACACTGGAAGAGCGCTGAATAAAGTTTATATCTCTGGTACCTGGCATTATATTTTATGGTATACGTGGCCCAGCCCAACGAAGTGACATTTATGTCAGATCTGGCCCTCATAACAAATGAGTTTGACACCTCGTGTCTATGGGCTTAGAGAACCCAGGAATCAGAATGCTGTTGGATCATGTTG